TACATGATGAGCGAGAAGAACGCGAAGAAATATGCAATGAACAACCTGTATGCATCTCAAATATGTCTGGGTCTGGAGAAGTGGAACTTGTGTTGCATGTCTTGCATTCCTGAAAAATCTGTATTGCACATCCAGCAAGTTGTAGAAAGGCGCCACTTTGTCGTCATGCAAAAACGGAGCTTGTCATGACATGTGTGAGCGTGCTATGCAGCAGACGGCGTCAAGTAAACTTGTCATGCTTGGCTGCACTTGAAAGCGCCAGTCTTATCTATACTTTAGCATCACAAGTCTCAAGACCCAGACATATTTACACTTGATGATCTGAATCCAGACGGCATCGCGGTGCTGAACGTCGGGGACACGAGTGGGTACGAGGGCGACGTGTTCATTTTCAAGAAGTCCAGTATGAGAGTGTCAGGATTGAAATCGTCAAAGTTCAAGTTGAAATAGTTTGTCACGCATAAGATGCAGCCTACAAAGTGCCTGTCTTGCAGAGTAGACAAGTGAGGCAGATTGTAAGCCTGTTGAGAAGTAGAAACTGTAACTGAGCTGCTAAAGTAGCATGACAAAAGGCGTCCTCCTTACCCAAACAGGACGACAAACTGGATTTCGGCCTTACTCAGAGTTGTCATGCACCACTTAGAATCTGGGTTACAATTTTCATCCATTTTATGCATTGCAAGCTATTTCACCTTCGTCGATTTCAATCCTGACACATCCATATCCAGCGACGGGACCACGATCGAAACCATACCGACCTACATCGGCGTCATTTTCCAGCCGGATGCGAAGCCTTAAGGGGCGCGATCGATGAAGTAGATGACTTTTGGTTCGTCTTCGTGCTGCTACTTGTCATGCCAGAGAATGCTACAACTACAATGCTGTAGTCGATGCTGGTAAAAATTGGTGTCTTTACATGACAAATTAGGAAGACAAGGGAGGGAAGCCGTTGTGCACTTCTGGCATAACCCACCGAGATATGGATTGTAAAAGTGTCTGGGTGTGGAAGGTTGGAACTTGTAATGCTAGCTTTCCATACCTAGAAAATCTGTATGGCATAACCAACAAAAGTCGCAGCCTCTTTTGTACATGCAAAAACGCAACTTCTCATGCGGATTGCCTATGAGAAAGCGTTCCGGAAAATTGTCATGCTGGGTTGCTGCATTCGGAACTGTCTGCATCATCCACATTTTAGCATCACAAGTTTCCAGACCCAGACATTTTTGAAATGCATACGAGATATCTGCGGACTTTGCGAAAAACAAGTTGCGACTGCACGAAATCTATCAACTGCAAATCTCACTGGACGTCTGCAAGATAATTGCTAGGCCACTTGTCATGCAGGTTTTCCATGACCCATCAAATCTGGAATGCGGGACCTAGCATGACAGACTCTGTGAGGTCTCTGTCATGGCTAATATCCTGCATGAGAAATCCCCTCCAAACTTGGTCGAAAGTGGACAGCTTTTGCCATTCCTGCAACACAGATTTTTCTTTTTGCATGATTCGGAAGGATTTAGCATGAAGACAAGTAGTTCCAATCTTCCAGACCCAGCCATATTTGCAATGCATAAAATCGCGCCGAATGTCGTGCAGTTGCCGAGCTATTACGCCGGGGCGGTGAATGACAATCTGCCGACGGGGAAAAAGTACGACCGATTGCACGGGGGATACATGATGAGCGAGAAGAACGCGAAGAAATATGCAATGAACAACCTG